GCTAATAGAGATATGTAATAAAGACAAAAGAACTTAGCCATATACTTATTAAATCTTGTTCTTTTTTGCTGCAATGGTTGGTTTAATTTGTTTAGTATTGTTCGGTAAATTAATCTCATCATTTAATACTGTTGGCCGGCCGTGGTTTCCTAAACCTAGGAAAGTCAATTTTAATATATCTTTTTCACAATTTTATGGTGGAAATGATGGTTGTGTTATAAATTTTCCAGCTGTGTACAGAACTCATAACTAGATTTCATTTTCACAGGTAGTTATCCGTGTCAAGTGATATCTGGAAGTATCAGTGGTTTGAAGGCACAATCCTTTGTTATCTTGGTAATGTTGAAGACGCCTCATGCAGAGACATTTCATTTGGTGCAATATGAAGGTAGTGATAACTTCAAATCATGACAAAATATCATTTTTATCCTGATAGTCTTTTATTGCTCGCAGAAAGCAACAGTGAGTGTTTTAATTCCTTTACTAGACACTCTCAATGATAGCCAGAGCCATAAAGGTATTTTAAGCGAAAACGTAAACTAAATTTCCCGATCAGAGGCAAAAAGCGTACAGTTAGAGTTTGCCAGCTAAAGATGAATGGTTTAGCCAATATGACTAACAGTGACTATGGACTGAAACTTTTTAATCTCTGTTGACTTTGACTGTTCGCCGTAATTGTGAAGGACGAGTACTACGAAAATTCAACAAGGTGGGTTTAGCCCAATATTTTGCTCCTACACAGAGCCAGAATTGGAATGACAAAAGCAGGAAAACATGTTCGTGGATTTTATTGTTTTCAAACAATTCGGTAAAACGTTTTCTATCTGTGATCAGTTCCTGTGTTCTCATCACGAAGCCACATTCCCGATGATTCTTAGCTAAATAGGAGAAATGGCATACCATTTGTGAGTGTAACTAACCTTTTACTCGAAATTTGATCATTTTTTTGGCTGCATTAAACATCGCGGTATGTTTTTGGGTTCCAGGCCCAGTCAGTGGTGGCAATTGGACAGCACTCTTTCATTTCCCAACTTCTCTTGGTGTTCCAGAAACGGGTAAGTTAATAGTATTAGGGTATCTTGTTCTTGTTTTATTTTTTGCCGTTTATAAATATAAAATTTTACATCAATTTACATTATGGGCAAGGAAGCCCAGAGAAGCAAATCTGTATCCCGTGTGCTTTGTTTATTTATAGTAAATATCACAGAGGTTGACTCAAACGTTTAGCCTATGTGCTGCAGTCTAACCTCGATATCATGAAATTTATCTACCCTGCACAGAAGGCAGGCCCGATCAGTGGCCATATTATTTACGATAGGCCTCAGATATTTTTTGTCTCGATGTAACCCTGTAGGCACGCATTGCTCTTATCCAAAACAAGGAATTGCGTGACTAAACCAATTCAGCTGTGACAGAGTAAACTGCAGTCTCTAGTTAGGGGAAGTTTTCGTGCGAGACTCGGTTCCCTCGCAAATTTTGCGCCTCTTGTAAGTTCACGCATGGATACCGTTGTAGACAAATACACTTTATAGCAGTCCGGAGATTATAAGCGTTGACCTCAGGACAAGCGATCCAGGTGTCTTCAAGAAGATGTATGACTGGCTGACTTTGTGTTCTTCGTGTTTAACCAGACCATGATAACTGGCAGAGAATTGAGTCCAAGTTTAGTGCTGACAATTCAAGAGTTTCAACATTGTCTCTCACTGGCTTGTCATTCACGGCTGTTGTCTGCGACAGTTTGTTTATTTGGGGAAATGCTCTATTCTTCAGGTATCGATTTAGTTGATTTTTAAGTGTAAAAAGGAGTAAATCGAAGCCATAATACATTGTAAGAGTCTTAGTCTTTTCAGTTTAGCTTCACCTTTTTTGATTTGGCTGAACTTAGTCCAAGTAATTCGTTCTTTGTCAGTGAAACCGGGCAAAGATGATTTCTTAAGCTTTCTTTCTGAGAAGATCCTGTGTAGCCGCAAGCCTTTGCGTTTCACACATTTTTATA